TTCGCGACTAACTACCTACTTGCTAGCTTACTACCCAGGGGTGCGAAAAACGGTTGCTGTGATAGACCGCAAGGAGCTTCACTCTAGTTCAGAACCATCCTCCCGGGGAGGTGGGGAAGGCCGGAGCACTGGTCCCGTTAACCTTTTAGTGTCGTTATGTGATTTTTATTTACATTTTTACATTGCGACAGACGGCAAGCAGCGTCCACTTTCCCAGACAACCTTCTTCCCGGGGAGGCGGGGGAGGCCGAAGCACTGGTCCCGGCGAACTTACATTGTTTTTATGTGTTTTTTCTTTACGTTTTCTCTTGTATACTGTGGCTAAACTGCTCATGTATGTTTAGATATTGAGATATGTAAATAACTGTACTTTAGAGCTGATGATGATTGTCGCTTCATCTCAACTTCACGGATCCTTCCGCCACCCCCCCCCCTCATGGGTACGTTCAGTATTATCAAGTTATAAAAATGTTAGAAAATATGTCTTACATTGTCATTAGTATTTTCATTATTGTTGAAGTGTGTGTTTTATTGTGAGGTAGCGATATTCACAAATTCACTGTTCCGAAGAGGTGGCCGGGGAAAAAATGTGACAAGATGCAAGCGTAATACGAACGACATTATCTGTGCACAGTTCTAGATAATCCCATCAATTTTAGGTAACCTGCAAGGCATGACAATTCAGAAGATAAGAGGCATGTGTCGGTATTCCTGATCTTTTACGAAAATGCGAATTAACTTGAAAAATCATCACCAGGTGGACTTTTCCCCATTCAATGTCACAAAATGTTAACTTTTTTATCTTTATTTTTTGTCATAGAAAGCAGTGAACAGCTGCACGAGAATGTGATCAATGGGGGAACATGAGTACATTTTCTTGAGCTTCGAAATTCCTTCCCTCTATATTTTACTACATACAGCTGAATTATGAGTATATGTAGAAACAAGCGTTGTTAGAAACATTGATAGAAACAAAGTTTATTCCCGGGCAATACGCACTACTTGCATTGACAAACGAGCTACAGATTTAATTGAATGGAACTGCTTAGAAAATAACTAACACGCACACACACACACACACACATGTATACTTAATTTTGTAAGAAAAGCTTTGATAACAGTTCTTTAAAATCTGTATACGGTGTCACGAAAATCCAAAAGCACATAATCTCAGTGTGTGTTCCACGGATTAATGAATTATGTTTCCTGAGTCAACACACGTAGAGTCACATTAACATGTAAGCCTCACATTAGCTCTGGACCTTCCCTCTGACAACTCCTTCCTCTAGTTATTTCTTAGACAGTTTTGCATCAGTCGCATAAGCGATTACCTTTCTCTCGCTAAACTTACCACTGAGTGATTGCTTGTTTTTGCGCACTTGTTCCCTCAAAGTTCTTTCTTTATCATATATCGAAACGTGATTAACCTGGTGGGATTTGGAAAAGGTTTGAAAAGTTTCACAAATAATGCGACAGAATCATATGGCTGAGATTGTTTATAATACATATTGTAGTGTGTTATCAATGACTATTGGTTCTGGCAACATTCGTGTAATATTTAGCATCTGAATAATTCTTGTCCATCTCACATTTTTATTTTCTCGACTTACGAATTCTTCTTAAGAAGAGAAAATTATGTAATCGTGCGCCAAAATTTCGCCAGAAAAAACCTTATTGCCAGGTTCAGGTAACGATGAAGTAGGTAAATATTGTTATTAGATTTAGAAAAAATCCCTCTAACTCATGCTGGAGCCAAAATCGATGTTTTGTTGGTTCTTGACACATAAAAATCGATTGACTGCAAAATATCCGTCTGTCTGTTTCTGTCCATCTGTGGTTAAAGCTAGCGCCTAAACCGTTCAGGTGATTTTCTTCAAAATTGTTATTCTCTGATTGATGTTAATGGACTGGAGGCTTTCGGAGTTTCTAACGGATGTATTCATTGTTGAAAGTTTCTTTTACATGTATCTGTCATTTACGTTTTTATACCTTTGTGCGAGTTCGACGTGTCCGCGCGTGCGCTCTTTAACTGTACACAAGAGGAGAGAACTAAATTGTGGCACGCGCCTTTCGAGTGGCGACTCTAAGTACCTGCAAGCCCCTACTAAGCGCACCGGAAAGGAGCGTCCAGCTGATTCGTTTCGCGGAATCGCCGGTGCAGCGCGGATGAGAAGCCGCGAGCGCCGTCTGCCGGGCGCTCCGCGAACTGCAGCTGCCGCGCGGCGCCGCGAAGCGGACAAAGGCAGGCCGCCAAGAGGCACGCGGCGCGAAGCGATGAGGAAGGCTGGAGGACGGGACAGGCGCCGGGAGGGTTGACCTGAAAGTAAGGGAGAGATGGAAACGTTTCGGGGGGGGGGGATTCGGAAGACGGGTTAAGGTCGAATGGGGAGGGGGGGATGAGAACTGAAGAGAAAGATCGACAGGTAAGAAAATCTCTTGAAAAATCAAGGAGAAAAGTTGATAAACAGGTAGGGAGAAAGAGCGCTAAAAGAGGGACGATGGGACAGGGAGCTAGTGAAGGCGGATGAAGGGGAATGTAAGAATAGGTATGAAGAAAAGAACTGAGAGGAAGAGACAGACACAAATGGGTGGGATGGGATGGTAAAGAATGACAAGGAATGATGAATGTGGAGAATGGAGAAAGAACGGAGAGGGAGGGAGGGAGGGAGAGAGAGGGAGGAGAGGAAGAGGGAGGAAAGGCAGAGGGAGAGAGTACGAAAGAAAAGCAACGAGGAAAGTTGGAAAGCAGCGGCTAGGATAAAGGGAGGTATGTTGGATGCTCGTGACGGTAAGAAAAGGCAGGAAGTAAAAGACAGAGACGAAGAGAAGGCTAGAATGGAAGGGGTGGGGAAGAAAGGGAAGGATGAATAATGCGGAGGAAGAACAGGGAGAAAGAGCTGGGAGGGAAGGCAGTGGGAAGCTGTGACTAGGATGAGGGGCGCGGAGAGCGGACCAAGGAGGAAGGAGGGATGGCGGGTTTGGAAAGGGAAGGGAAGGGGCGGGGTGCGAAGGGCGGCGGCGGCGGGGAGGAGCGGAGGGCCACGGGCGGCGCTGCGGAGCGGAAGGGACTCCATCTGGCGGACAAAGGCGAAGCCAGCGCCGGCCACCGCAGCCCTCAGCCCCCAGCCCCTCGCGCGGCGCCCATTGGCGCTCGCCCAGTCGCGCTATACAGCGTGTCCCGCACGAGAACCTCGTCGTTTACACTTACTCATTAGAAGTCCGCATTCAGTCCGTCATGGTCGGCGGAAAATAATATTAAAGTTCAGATGAAGCACCATTTTAGTTCGGATGAAGGAAGGATTTAATCGGCTTCGGTGGTAGAACGGTTAGCGTATTGGACTGTTTACTAAAGTTTGTAGTTTCAAAAATGATCAAAGCAATGGATTTTTATGGGCGAAAAAATTCTTCGTACGCCTTCCTTCAGAGGGGACGTAAAGCCGGCAGTCCAATGTAGATTTACTGCAGGTAAAATATCCTCAAGCCTTAACGAAGCCGCTAGACTAAATACAAATCACCTACATCCTCGCCCGAGTGATTCCTTCTTTCTCCGCTAGATGGACAAAGGAGCGTACCGAAATTTGCATTGTCAGGCAGAGAAGCGTGCCTGATAGTCTGAGAGTCGCGAGGTAAAATAAGGTATAATTGAATTAAGTTGAAGCAAACTAATTCAAGTTATCTGTAAATGCACTGTAAATACGATGGGATGCCATAATGGACAGGAAAAAATGCTTCGGGTAGCGAGATCACAATGCATTTTGCGGACTTCCGTTGACTAAACAGAATTGGTTATTTAGTGAGTGGTTTTTGAGAGTTTTCCTTCTTAAACGCAAATCACTGCTAACTTCCTCTGTAATGGTATAAATATTGATATCCAATTAAAGATATAATTTATGCACAAGAGAACTTAGTAACGAACCACTTGTGAACGTGAGAATTTAGTAACAAAAAGCTAATACAAAATGATGGGTTCACGTGATATTTCGTCGTAAACTCTTTAGATTTTTCGGCGCTACTCTTTAAGATTGAAGGATTTTTATTCTTCTGGTGGCGAATTTTCCCAGCACAGTAGCACGTCGAGCAGCCGTCAGGTAGCCTAATGTAAGTGTTGAGCAACAGATAGCTTTTTTGGCCGCATTATTCATATCAGTGAGATATTTTATGCTTCAGACAGACTAAATATGTATTGCCTGAAAAGGGTTCGTCTCATTTTGTCTGTGTATTATTTCCCTTCGTCTTCATAACTCTTACACACAGCTAAAGCTGAATTATGTATTTTGGCCTGGCGAGTTCAGAACAGATTAAATAGTATCGTGCGACGAAGTGAATCAGCAATTCATGATCTAATGAAGTTACGTGTGCAAGTGAAATCATATATTTTTCGTGCTGCTAAAATTTTAGCTGCACCATACACCAGGAAAAAAATGCGCTCCCCTTTGTAGTGTTGGCTTAATACACAGTTTCTTTAACTTTCAAGAGATACTAGCTAAAGGGCCAGTTTCTGTACGAGGAATATACTCTGTGTGTCAATTCGCCTCTCATTTGAGATATTGTTCTTTAAAATTCTCAATTGAGAATTTGACATGTGATTCCAAAGAAATATCATGAATATAAAGTAAAAAAAACTGCTACGTTTTTTTACAATCATTGGATTTACACATACCTCACTTTCTCTATTAAGGTCGTATAATATATTTTCCCCTGCAGCAAATGTTCATATTAAGAAATCATCAACGTTTTCTTACGAGCACAGGTATCTCGGGGCAATAAATTGTGTATTATCCCATCGTTTGTTAGTTTAAAATTGTCGCATCAGACGTCTAGTTTCTACTACAATTTCTTGTGGCAAATGCCATGTCAAATATGCCATTTGCTTCCTTCAAAGTTAGTGTTCATAGTTTGCATTTAATTGCAACAAAATATTACAAAAATGCCACATAACAGAGTCAATGCTTTCTCAGAGAAGCGAACACACGAGCTCGTCCGCTAGGCGAACTACTTACCAAATGTTTTGCGATGCGGCATCCACAGCAAGAAATACAGGCAGGGACAGATACATCAATGCCTCCCTATAAAAAAAGTAATTATTTGAGTTTAAACAATGTAACACCTGTTGGACTAACAAAGTTAAGTTATTTAAGAAAGATTCTAGAACGCGTTGGACTGGGAGGTAGTTGGCTGAGCAGCTGAGGATGGGGAAGGCGTGAAGTATAAAGGTTCATTTCTAACAGATTTTCGGATATAAAAAAGGTAGGAAAAAAAATATCAGTATGGTAGGAAATGAACTATAAATGCCAACACGTAACCGAAACGCAACGTCTGTCTGGTCTATCTTAACACAATTTCCCACCGGATGTTTATTCGCAACAACTAATTATATTGGTCACCTAAAACTTCTATAATTTTTAACATTTATTCTGAGACATTCTGCATTGAAATTAAGTGAATAACTACTGCATCGTTTCTAACGTTAATTAATGATTAATTAGGAGTTAAAATATTACGTATGTAAGACTTTCCTCGAACATGTGCTTTTGATGCTCGCACATCTTGAATCTTTCTATAAAGTAGTGTGTGTGCGTTTAGTCAATTGAAGAATTTTAATAGTAGATTTTTCATTATTTGGGCCGCGATGTAAGTTTTAAAGCGATTCACTGGTGACAAATTAATGAACTATTAGTCTCCTGCCGTGTTTGTGAGGTACAAAAGTTAGATAGAAATGATATTTACAGAGCGAAGGGGTTTAAATGTACTATCAAGAATAGTAGGTCTTTCTTACTGGTTTGTAGTTTCGTTTAAGTAAACTAAAGTGGTACTAATGGGTTTATGTGGTAATTCTGATTCACCATTTAGTTCAATCATCTTATTATCAAGATCGTTTATGAAACAAATGCCAGGGTTGACTTGAGCCGCATCGTGCCAGCGATAGCCTTAAAGCTGTAGAGATAATAGAGCATTATAGTCGTTGGAAAGTGTCGCACACTGTTTTATATCAAAAGGAGTGGATTATAAAATGGCTTTTTATTGAAAAGGAGCATTTTAGAAAACAGATTTGTGGATTAACGTATCAAAATGTGCGAAACGAAGTGTCTTGCCATTTATCCATTTAACAAAGTAACATTTAGTTTTAGAATTGATAGAATTAATATAATAGGGATTGTTTAAATTGTTCGCGATAATTATAAAATTCACAACGTTATTTATTTACACTACACAACGTGAGAAAAAATCGTCGTTTTTTGTTAATAACCAATTCCATTCCGGTGAACCTCATTCAAGAATCAAAGTTACAAGGGGAGTGAACTTTGAATTGTCCAAATTGATTTAACTGACTTCTACTAATTTAACTGACATTAATATTTTAAATATTCTTTATGATCGTTTTATGCTGTTTGCAAAAATTTCAAACAAAGTTTTGTTTAAATTCTCCTAGAATTCATTATCACTTTACCATATAGCAACGTGTTCCTCAGCTGGCTGAATATTAACAGTAACTATACTCTTCTTCTTTTTCTTCAAAACAGATCAATTTGAAAAGAATATGAATGTCATTCACTGGTTACAAATTCAGGGAAGTTATAAAATGATGAGTAGAAATCATCTATTATTTCACAAATCTACCTTTTGTAAATGAAATTAAAGTGGTTAGTCTAACTTGAAGAATAATATGTAATTAATGAATATCCGTATCTGCAAATGTGTAATGTATAATTTTCCTTTACTCCACTGTACTTATATAATTTTGTTTACAATAGAGTATTTTTTTTAAACAATACATTTTGGGAGTACTACGAAATACCATTACGCCACACATGTCATGTACGATGCGTATAATTTTCATGTCATAAAGTTTTTTTTTTTTGCATATTTCAAAGGGATGTGGACATTTTCTTTGGATTGCGAATTAAAATACGACTTTTAGTTTTAAAATCATTTATTTCTCCATTAGTGGGTTATTTCTAAAAATAGGAAAATGTCATAAAATATTGTTTTAAAGTCGGAGTTAACAGCTGCTCACTGAGAAACGCAACGCGAGGGAGAGTGCGGGTCGCGTGGCAGTCGACGGAGCTGGAGCAGCGCTAGACGCGGTAGACGGAGTGGCCATTTGACTCCTGCATGCGCGAGTTGAATTAATTGAATTGAATTGAATTAATGGCTTGTTTTACGTGGTGAGACTCAGGCCATGAGGCCTGCTCTTCCGTCTGACCACGCAAATTTCGCTACGCTCTTTTCACCAACTAGCGAGAAAAGGAGGTATTTCTTAGGCGAGAAACAGGCGATTTCAGCAGAGAGGCGAGAAACAAGCTGAAGCGACGTTGGAGGGGGCGGAGTCGGTTACAGCAGGTATAAAATTGGCGTGGAAGGGTACCCCATTCGTCGATTCGAGACGTAAAAGCTGCATTTACGTAACAGTACATTCTGAGTTCAATGTGACATCAATGACTAGCTACGATGTCACGCATCAAAATATAATACTTACCAACTTGAGTTTTAATTTTAATAGCAAAAAGTCAGTTTTCGTGGGATTATTGGATTTCATATCGTATGGCTCTGCACTAATGAAGGGTTGTATGTATTAAAATTTAGTTTTTACTTTATTATTAAAATCAAAAGTTACTTAAATGTATTGCGAGTTAAAATTATGATATGATTATATGAGTAGTCATTGCCAACAATATTGTTTATTACAATAGCAACTTTCGATGGCTTAGATATCATCAGTTTTCTAGTACAAGAAAAAACATTAGAACGTGAATATTTTTTGATTTGCCAAGAAATTTACAATTTTTAGAAAATATATTTAACATTTGAAGAACTGAAAGAAAGAAAGAGGAGTGTTAAGTCATATAATACTACAAGAAAAGGGAATGATTTTGAATTAGAACATGCAAAATTTGAAACAGAAAACATGAAAATGTAAGTTGAGCCGTTCCTTACCTACTGTAGGGAAGTCACAAAAACGAAAACTCACCACTATACCAAGTTAAAATTAACCAAAACTCGTGAAATATTTACTAGCAAATACGTTATAAGCGTAAAAAAAACTTCAAAACTACTTGATTTTTTTCCAGTTACTGGGTATTTTATAGCGACTTATAAAATCACGATAAAATTGTTTTACAATTCTGATTTTTAGGTGTGTATTTTAGTATAAAATATATACAATGCATATCATAATATGAATCTAGTGCTGCTACAAGGCTCCATTTCTCAAACTATTTCTAACACTTGCAACTTTTGAAAATTCTGAGAATTCAACTACAATGATATCTCAAAAGATGTTTTTCTGTCGCACAATCGGCACATTACAATACTTTCTTATATTAGAACGTAAATAGTTTGCAAGAACATGAATGCTATGTCGCTGTACGTTCCAGATTACCCTCTAAACGACCTTTTGGTAGATGTTCAGACCGAAGCTTGCTTTCCTAACTTCACTTGTCTCCACCAGTTTTCCTCGTGATGGCGCAAGGGCGCGTCGAAGAGCACACAGGAGGTATCGCTCGAGTCGCAGTCTACGCCTCTAATGAACCTCGCAGGGGCCGAGGACCATAGTTGGCCTTAACTCGCCCCGCCCCCTCCTCCCCAGGCGGCGAAGCTCTCTTCAAGCGGCGCCGGGGGCTCGGGAGACGCAGGAGCGGCGGCGGAGGCCACGTCAAGTGGTTTAAGCGTCTCCTTCCAACTGTTTAATTTGACGAAAGGGAATTAGAGAGTTGGCGAAAGTTTGGCGACGAGCTCTCGATGCACGATATGGACGAGGAAGGGGAACTGGGGACGCGACGGGGGGGGGGAGAAGGGTGCAATTCATCAATGGATTTTTTGTTGAAGCGCGCACCCAAGCAAGACTGTTTCTCGCATTTCTCTCAGTAGTCTCAGTTATTTGGAGGTATATAGCAATCATCGGAATCATAATCAACTAAGATCTGAGTGTCACCCATCATTTTTATTATTATGATTCACGTAACAGTGTCTTTCGGTTTACTTTGAAATAGATCACGAATTTATGAGCAATTGTTAATCAAATGCTGAATGACGATGGAAAAATGGCGATATGATAGGTCGGAGAAATGGGAGAACCTCAGAAAAAGCTGTCGCTTTACTCACCATAAATGGATCGATCAGGATCTCTCGATGCACGATATGGACGAGGAAGGGGAACTGGGACGCGACAGGGGGGGGGGAGAAAGGGTGCAATTCATCAATGGATTTTTTGTTGAAGCGCGCACACAAGCAAGATTGTTTATATGGCCCCTGTGATGGAATATGATCTAACTGCTTCACTGCCCATCTACCACGTTTGCATTTATTCCATTTCCTTCCTCCTAAAGTCAACTCTCTCTCCCTCTCTCTCTCTCCCCCCCTCTCTCTCTCCCACTCTTTCACCCCTAAAACCTATGTAACCCAGGTGCTCTGGTCTTACATTCGCGAACTCTCGGAGCAACACTTTGTTAAGATGATGCATCACTCACCCATAGAATAGCGGATCTGCTCAACGTCCGGCCTTAGAATAGGACTAGAGACAGAAGAAGAAAAGGAAGATCGCGCGCGGAGTGTGGTGGTATATTTAAGGTACTACTCTGGCCCTGCAATTGAACGGAAGAATCCACTGACAATTTCTATCTGTGCAGCCGGTTTATAGAACTCTCAATCAGGCAAAGAAATTGTACTACCTTGTTAATTACCTGCTGTCTAAAATCAACCACCGTCAGAACCCAACATCTCAGAACTTTGCTTAATGGATCAGGGATATTGGACGAAAACCTGTTTGAGATGGAGTCATTAATCCAGAAGCTGTAGTTCATTACTTATTACAGGCACATTACGCCGTTTTAAAATTGTGAATTAAAATGTAATCTATGCATTAAATATCATTTTTGAAATAATACATTATTTTTTATGAACATTATAGTCTCTACTTCTGTAGAAACAGTTATGCATCAGAGAACATTTTCGTTTGAACTTAAACTTGTCTATCGATTTTCATTGTTTAATGTCCTGGCAATGTGTTATAAAATTAAGTGCATTTATTACGATACGTAGATTTCTTGTTGTGAGCTATTGATACGGTCACCTTATGAACGACATTTCTACGACGAGTGTTATTATAAATATCATTATGGCATGAAAATATGTTCCCATCTTTAAGTAAGTTATTTTGGACAGAAATCACAGATTGGTCAATAAATAGGCAAGGTAATACAAATATTCCAAGTTCAATGAAGAAAGGCTTGCAGGAATCACTTGGTTGGCATTTGCTTATTAGTCGTATACTTGTTATGCAATATAAGTAGAGGTAATATGGGATGAACTTCCCCAGAATATTACGAGTATATCTCAGACGGGATTGTACATTTGCAAAGTACATCAACAAGCTGCACATAGGAAGACAGAGTCTGTAGAATTCTGAATGCGTGATATAATTACTTTAATTTTGTGTGTAATTCAGTGTTATGTACATTCTATTTGACATTTCACATAATTGAGACACCCAGAAATATTGTTACCTAAACATCCAGCCATTGGTGTATTATTCATTTTTCTTCGTTAACTTTTAATTTATTTTTCCGAAACTACTTTGAAACCTAAGAAAGTGTCCTATTTAATGTTTCTTTTTTGCAAAAAAATTTGTGTCATCGGTAAGCAGATCTATTCTTCCGTTTGTAATTGACAAGGGCATATCATTTACCTTGCAAAGCTAGAGAACAGGGCCTGATATTGAACCCTGCGGGACACCATGCTCAATTGGCAAAGGATTTCGAAAATGATGATCTGTTCTTTCGTGCCAGTAGGTTTTTTTCTCTTTTTTGTGTATGATGTTTAATATAAGAGAAGCTATCAAATCTAGATCAATACCACGGATTCCAAAGCAATTTTGAGAATAAAATGTTACGATCAATAACGTTGATTGCTTTTGAAAGATCTAAAAATTATCCCACAAGTTTAGGTACCACTGCTCATATCTTATCTTAAAATGGATATCACCTTCCACTCAGCTAAAATATGTGTAATCCTTCAATTATAAACCAAAAATGTATTTTCTGTTGATACAAAATTAAATATTTACATATCAAATGTTTGAAATCTTTTCCGGATTCTGTTTCAGATAAAAAAATTAAATATAAAGAGACTGTTTTATTATCAAACATTACAAACATTCTATTTTTTAACTAAAATGTAAATGAATGCAAAATAATCAGAGTAAAGGAACAATCTATTTAGGAATAGATATTAATACAAACTTTATAACAAACATTCAAAAATATTTGGATTTAGTGATTTTCGTGGCTGTTGGTGGTTTGGCAGTGTCTGGGTAAGTGATCCTGTTCATCTGGCAACCCTGGACAGGAATCGGTCTACCGTAACGAACTATACTACATAGAGTGGCTGTCCCTGTAGTTTCAGCGCTCTTGCTGAAGGCTCGCCGATCTAGTGGCCGCCATGTTTTTTTAAGTCAAAGCATGCGAGTGGTGGTGTAAGCACCCGTAACCAGCGCCAAACGTAATGCTAGAATACTTTGTTTCCAAGAGGGCGCTGATTTGACTGCAAAAAACATGTCTTCAACTTGCTTCAAAGATGGAGACGCTTCAGCCACTCTATGTAGTATATTCTAGCTCGTTGGTCTACCGCCACCATGCCTGCGAGCGAGCGAGTTGCACCGTTTACACCCTGAGAGAAACACCCTGTATCCCGCTACGCGGCGGCTGGCAGAGCCGAGGCATCGAGCAAAGCTCTGCCCTCCCGAAAACCCCCACGTCGCCAACGCGGGACGCCGCCGCGCCGGGTCTCCACAGTTTGTCCGATTGTCGCGCACAATGGCCCCGAAATAGCAGGGCGGCCCCGAGCACAGCGGCCGGCCAGCCACCCAGCGCCCGCTCTCCGCCCCGCGATGCAACCCGCGCCACATTGTGCGGCCCAGGCGCCGCTCATACGAATTTGCAGTAGATCCCCTGTATTCTTTTGTTGTTACCTTCCTCTATCTCTTACTGCGTGCCATTTATGGGGCTCGTCCCGACGGCTGTAGGGTTTTTGACACTTGTTTGTCGGCTAGGTCGAATTCAGACTGTCTGGAGGAGAATTCTACCGACTGGCTGCTCGGACCAGTAGTTTTTTGTAGTTCCGTTTCAACACCATTTTCCTAAGTTTCCTAAGAAACGGGTCACGTACCGCGCGCGATCTTTCCCACCTCTTCCTTGTCCTATCCTCACCCTTCCACACACTAACAGTAACATGCTCTACTACACAAGCCCGGAGACCGGCCAAGAGCTTAAGAACTTGTCCCGGCTGGGGCGGTGCCCCGCTGGTGGAAGATACCTGGTTAGGGAAAACACCGCTAGGTGACGGTAGAACGGCGCCTAATCTCGCCACACAGTGGGAAAGAGCACCGACATCTCCCGAGCAAAACATGTACTACACTTACGGGACCAATGACCTCTTTAGTTGACGCGACCGAAATCACTAACAATCATCATCATTTATAAGAGTCGGGGACAATTCATTTTTTTTTCTGTTGAGATACTGTTGAAGTGTACAGTTCACAAA